AATGCCCCCCTCCCCCTCCCTCCTCCATCCTCATTTTCTTCCTCTCCTCCTCCTCCTCCCTCCCCTCTTCCTCCCTCTCCACTCTCGCTGCCAACCTCCTCTCCCGCTGCCAACCCATCACTGCCAACCTCCTTTCCCCTCTCTCCTTCCTTTCCTCCTCCTTTTCTTCCCCCTCTTAAGTTAGATTGGAGGGTATAATAGGAATTACAAGTTTTTTAAAACAGAAAACATTAAAAAGTATGACATTGCAAACATGTAAGCAAATAAGGTGATTTTGATCAAAAATAAAAAATAAAGGTGGTAAGTATCAATTTGGACAAAGTTGACGTGGTTTTCAAGCAAAAACCCATATATCTATATCTTAATTCCACTCTTCTGAGGAGAATTTGATTGATGTTTTGACTTTTGAATTGTGAATTAAGGATTGAGTGGCAGATTAGGGGTGCTTGCTTTAAATTCTAAGGTGATGATTGGCCTTTCAAATATTTTTTTTGGATTTTTTCGGATATTAGCTTCTTACATCTTTACTATTTTAAAATTAGTTTGTCAAATTATTGAAGTCACTATTAGGTCCTCAAGATCTTTATATACACCAACTGCTGCTTTTGATTGTAAATACTTGGAGACAGTCATAATAATTGGGGGGGGGGGGTAACTTAATAGCAATTTCAATGTTTTGAGGGACTAATTTTGAGACAATTTATAAGAATTAGGGGTCTAATAACAAATCTAAAGATTTTGAGGAACTCAGTTAAAAATGTAAGGGTCTATTGTGGAAATGTTACTTACGATATTGCAGTATATTTCTGCACATAATTCAGTCTGGTTGTAGTCCAATCCAACGAACCATTCACAATTCCTTCATCGAACACACGCGCACACAAACAAATGAAAAAAAGAGGAGGAAGTAAAAGTAACTATGAGTTATGCTCTCCTGAAATCCACCCACTTTTCTTAAGGTTGCTTTTCTTGAAATGTATTTGCTTCAGCTGAGCTCCTCTTTGATAAGTATCTGAGTGTTTTGCCTTATGAGTTAAGTGTTTGGTTAAGTTCTTGAGGATGAGAACAATACAAAAATTCTCGTTTCTAACTTCTTTCATACTAACATGCCTACAGCACCTGTATCAACTCTAAGTTGTGCAACTAAAATGCAGGATTTCAGAGGTATGGCTGATGAGAATTGTGAAAGCAGACTATATGTTGGCAATCTTGACCATAGAATCACAGAGTAAGATTAATACTGTTCCTATATTCAAATTTGATCTATTAAATTTGGGTTACTTGCTCATGGACCCCCTGTCGTTGTTTTGAACTTACTACCACCCTTGTAGTTTCATTGCTGTAGATATACCCTGGTTTTATTTTGAACTCTTCTACCCTTAGCTAAGCTCACTAATTTCACCCAGGGGCAATATCTGCCAAAATTTCACCAGGGGTAAAAGAGTAAAAAAAACTAGCCAATGGGTGGTCTATCTGCAACTATGAAACTACATGCCTTGTAAGTGTTAAACAGCGACATTACAGGGGGTGTATGCGCAATCAACCCTTCAAATTTCTATGTTCTTTGTTATTAATGCATGCTAAATTTACAGGGCTCATGTGTTAAGGGTGTTTTCTCCTTTTGGGAAGATTGTATCCGAGGATTTTTTGTGGCACACCCGTGGCCCTAAACGTGGAGAACCACGTGGTTATGCTTTTATTGAGTACAGTACTAAAGAGGTACCCTACATTCTAAACATCAGTTTCTCTAGGGTAAATTACAGAAAACCCCTTAAGGTCTGCATGAGCGACATGAAATCCCCCAAATGTTTTAACATTATAGAATTAACTTTACTGTAAAATGTATCATAATAGGGTATGAAAATGGTGATATGGGGATTTTCTGTAATTTATCCTAATTTTTCCAATTGGTCAAATTATCTAATTTTTGTTACTTGAAGTGAGCAAGCAGGAAGCTCAACTAGCGAAGACAAAGATGAATGGGAGATTGGCATGTGGACGCCCTCTTGTTGTTCGATTTGCTAGTGAGAAGTGCTCTGCTGATGCAGCAGATCCCCTTAAAACTTCCACTGATTTGAAGAATCTAAGCTCTGGAAGCAGCACATCAGGTCAAGTGAACCGAAATGCTAAGATTGCAGCAATTAAGAATAAGCTGAAGTCTTTGGAAGAAGAAGGCTGCAGCATGAAGAAACCAAAGCTTGCAGAGAGCACTTTTTCAAAGCTTGGGGACCATTCTGAAAGAACCAAAGATTGAATGGTTGGTAGCATTGGCTGAAGATTTTTCTCAAGCATGCTGTAAGTGATTCTAGTTTTTGAAATTGAGAATCTCCAGTCTCATTATGTAATTTTGTCGAAACTGTGTTCTTATGACTGCAATTTAGAGTTAGTATATACCTTTGCTGGATATTATCTGCTTCTTTTAGGTACCGATATTGTTCACCATATAAAAGAATAATATTAACTAAAAAATAAATGCAAATAAATACAACTCTTAAATTTTATCAGCATGCATTAGCCTCCATCAAATGATCGCTATGCCTAATCTTCTGTAGATTCAGAATCATCTTGCTCACTGGTAATTTCATATGCTCGCTTCAGTAACATATCCATGTAATGGTCATATGCTTCCCTTTTCACATCTATGTGCATTTCCACCTGCCATCATTTAGAATAATAATCATTACAATCAAGTTCTGATTGAAACAGATAGCTAAAGGCCAACAAATATATCGTAAAAATCCTCGAGTCTCTACTTGAAGATTCAGAAGTTAAATTGCATGTTGCAAGGGAAACTGCATCCCTAAGTATGTTTAAACATGCTAGAGGTGCAGTGATAATCTTTGATGTGCAAGCTAATAAGCTGGTGCCTCAGTGAAACGTTGTTAATAGGTAGCTATTATTATGTTAGGAGGTCAGACTTTATATGCACATAGTGAGTTAGCATACCCATCAGATTAACAGTTATTATCAGCTGGTTATAGTAGCATATTATTAGTACAAACTCAAAAGAGAATTGTTAAACCATCTGATATACAACAGGGTCACGATCATACGCACAACACAACAAATGATTACTGAAACTTTGAGAAACTGCGAAAAGGGAGCAGTACCATTTAGAGAAAAAAGAACAATGGTTACTGAACTTATGGCAATGATTCTTATGAAACCTACCTCTGATTTCTGCCTTTGGCATTCCATCTCAATTCCTTCATCCCCGTCGTGATAGTAATCGCGTTCATAAGAATCATCCTCCATTACTGTGCTGATAGTTCTCAAAATTTCCAAGTCTCTCTCTCTCTCTCTCTCTCTCTCTGATGTTAACCACAATGCTCACTAATCAAACATTATCTCTATATTTATAGGCTAATCTACGTTTTAATCTTACCATTAAATGTTCAAGTGCTCCAAAAATCCCGGCTTTGGCCTGCACAAAAAGGACTGAATCATTCTCATAGTTCAGGCATCAAATGAGGATAAATACTACGAAAGATCCTTCCTTGATTTGCAAATTGTGCCTCAAATCTCATTGGTTTTCTTTGAATGCCAAATTGCAGCACCAGAGAACTAATCACCTTCATCTATCATTCATCGGCTTATAGAGATATTTGGAGTGATCATAAAAAACATAGTTAAGAGTCAAGATTTTGCCCCATATCATAAACTATTGCATGTCATATTTCTAATTATGGTCATGTAATTGTTTGGTTTGCACTTTTACCTGATTATTTTATACTGGATTTTGTGTAGAGGGTCCTACTTGTTGATATACGCACAAAATTGTTTCCCTGGCAGTGACCAGGTCACGAGGTGAAGTTGTTTTGTAGCTAACATTAAAAAGCATTTTGTTAGAGAAAATTATGTATAAATGAGAGCTAACAGACCAGCTACGTAACAAAATATTAATACTAGAATAATTGGGGAAGACCAAATCATGAAGTTGATTTCATATTATGAAGAACTTGACAGCTAATATATTTTGGCCACAGGCCTAACAGGGTTAAGCTAGAGCAAGATGAGGATATATGCTGAGCCTTGTCCTGGAAAATTATAGATCACTGAGAATTATGGAGAACAAGAATTAATATTGCAATTATTTCCACGAGCAAAATATTCGCGAAAACTTGAGGTCAAAACCCACATCTGTTGCTTGGAATTTCTTCGCTTCCCAAACTGTTGCAAGATTGAATGGAAAATGATTATTTCTCCTCATTTTTAATTTCTCCCGTCTGAAAACTACATCTTATTTGGTAAATATAACACCGTCCTGCTATCTCAGGGAATTAGGGTTCGAATGTATTTCGTTTATCATTTCGAGTTTTCTTTTAGTTATATGTTTGAGGAGTTTGTTCCTTTTTATTTTTAAGGACAAATGAACTATTATTGTTACCGATATATATACAAATGTACTACTATGCAATTTTTCTCATCTCTTAAACATTAAGGTATCGTTTGGCAAAAGGTTAAGTGAGAGGTTAAGGAGACTTAACCCTTGCTTAACCCGCCAAACACAAAAAAATTATATATGAGTTAAAGTGAGTTAACCCTCTATAATTTGCCAAACACAAAATATATAGAAAGGTTAAGCTAACCTTTCTGGAGGGATTAAAATGAGTTAACCCCTCAAAATGAGGGGTTTACTAATACTCCTATTTAGAAGGACTAAGAGCTAACCACTCTAATTATAAAGAAAACAGTCAAAATCCTTGTTATTCCTAAACACTAAAAACGATCATAAGGGTTAAAATAAAACTTATATAACGGGTTAATAATTTAGTCATTCGGATTATCGAATAGGCTAACTATGTTAATAAGTTCCGCTAATTATGATCTCGTAGTAATTGATGTTTTTGCGAGTAGTTTCTTGTCCTATGTTTTTACTCCTGAAGGGGTTTCTACAGCTTCATGAAAGAGAAAGAAGAGGAAAAAAAAAATCAAGAACATCACTGCTTGGTTTTCTCAAAAACTTATAAAAAACGCCTGTATTATATTTATACTGTGATTACAAGAACATTTCAGATGCACGTATACGTAGGACATCGCTCTCATCAAATGAGTATCAGTTCCAACTTCATGTTGCGAGCAGGAGATCATTCGCCGTCGTCTTCTGATTCTTCAGAGCCGTCTTCTTCACCGACGATGTCACGAGCTCGCTTCAACAGCATGTCCATGTATCGATCGTACGCTTCCTTTTTACTCTCTAGATGCATCTCTACCTGCATTTTTTTTTTTTTTGCATGAGAAAAAAAAAGTTTACTAGATAAATCAACACGCGCATTGCAATTATTCATTAATGTTGAAGGCATAGTTTCATCTCAAAACCTCCGATTGGTCACTTTCATCCTCTTCAGTTTCATCTCCATCCGAGTAGTAATTCTCATCAAATGAATCGCTATCCATTTACTTAATATATATCCCCTTGCCGCCTTTTCTTTTTCTTTTTATTTTTTTACGAACTATTAATTTCTCTTTAAACTTTTTTTTTCCTTCAAGCAAACGTCTGTATTTATACACAGATTTTGGTTTGCTGGTCTCCACCAAAGAGAAATTAGTAGTATACGTCCACATTGATATTGCGGTTGGCAAAATTTGTTTGTTTAGTAGTTTCCAAAATACTTTGTGCGAGAAAATGATGACATGCTCGATATTTGATAACATCAATTCAATGCACCTTGGACAGGAGACTAGGCCGAGGACTGGTTCTTATTGGTATTTATCTGTGGGCAAAAGTTTAGCGGAGATTCCGAATGTACCAACCAAATATCATTTAGATTCTTAATGTTTGGAAGTTATCAGTGAGGGTTCCTAACGTTATTTTTGTCATCAGCCTAGATCTTTTTTTTACGAAGTTCATTTAACTTTTACTAACGTGACTCTGTCATGTTAGCAAAAACATTAGTGAAAGTTCAAGTTCAATATAAACTAATAATTTCACTACCGTTCTGTGGTATTGAAGTTGTAATTTCACTAAACTTTTTGCTAGCGTGGTAGTGACATGACAAGATTACATCATCACCACGTCAGCGACCTAAACCGGTGATGGAGATAACATTAGGGAACTCCATTGATGATTTTTAAAAATAAGGACTTAAATGATATTTGGTCAATACATCAGGATCTCCATTGAAGTTTTGCCTTGTCTGTGGGTGCATATTTAGTAATTAGCATAGAAGCTTCTATTTACATAGTAAATATAGAAAAATGCTGTTTGCTATTCATAGAGAATGTAAATTAAAAATAAAGATGTGGTAATATACTTATTGTTCGAAATTTGATTAAGAAGGAAAATCTAGCATAATAAGTATTCTTTAGACTCTAAACCATTTTTTATAGGGGAAAAAAAAAACTCAATTAAGGTATAACTCCTTGTATAGTTTCGAGTTATCACTTCACATGCAAGGGAATCATGAATTGAAGTTTTGATCAGAATAGCCTAGCTCTCCAACTAAATATACAAAACACTATTATGCATTGATCCCTTGAATTATTCTTAAAGTATTTTCTTCTCAAATCATTATAGTTGCTATTTATTCCTCCGGTTAGCATCCATCTCAATTATAGAAAATATTATTTTAACCGCAGTAGTTTTTAGATGTTATTCTCATTATACATTTATACTGTCATCATATGTTGAAAAACTAACAATACCATAAGCAAAATAATTCCAACTATCCTAAGCTAATCCATCCCCACAAAACTCAACCTCAATCTTAAGCCCAACCCAAACTAGACACCAACTCAATCTGAATTAACCCTTTCTGACAACACTTAATTGCTAATTTGCCCCATGTACAAGTGTCCCCAGTTGCAGAAGCTACCAAAAATTGGAACCAAACCTCCCCTACTCCTGCGTGAATATTGTTGAACTTAAATCAATCTAATATAGATTTAACAACCGTGATTAATCCAAAGAGATTAAAACAACAAGAGCGGAAGCTATACTTGAATCCATTACACGGATCTGAATTAGGGTTTTGATGATCTTCTAATCTTGAGGGTCTCTGCTTAAGAATATCTTTAGATGAGGATAAGAGAATAGAGAATGTTAACGTACCCTTAGATTAGGGACCATAACCCTTTATTTATAGGTGTTGTACTTTTATAATTTGGGGATAAGAGAACAGAGAATATAACTTCATATTTATACCCAATCTCATAATATCTGATAGAAAAATTCCTCAAGGACTCAAAATATGAGACTAATAGGGAGGACAAGTGAGGTGTCTTACTTCTATTGGATAATGAGTTGGCCATCATTAATGATGGCCAACTCATTATTCAATAGGAGGGGGACACCTCATTTGTCCCTCTTAGAGCAACTCCAATGGAGCGCCAAAACTCCATTTTGGAGTATTTTGGCGCTCCAATGGAGCGCCAAAAAGAGCAACTCCAATGGAGCGCCAAAACTCCATTTTGGAGTATTTTGGCGCTCCAATGGAGCGCCAAACACCCCGCTAAATTAGCGGGGTGCTACAGTGTTGCGCCAGAAATGGCGCAACACTGTAGCAATGGCGCAAATTTTTTTTTCTTTCTAAACTTTATTCTTTTATTCATATTTTCTTTTCTTTTTGCTTTTTCTTTTAAATTTTATTCTTTTTGCTTTTGTTTTTTATATTTGTATTAATAATATATATTATCTTATATTAATTATTATAATGAAATTAGAGTATAAAATAATTATTAAAATAAAATTTAAAAAGAAATAAGAAAAACTACACCATTTAGATAAAAATTAGGACATAAAAATGTAGTGCCTTTTATTTTTATTTTTTGCTTGCAAGTGTGATGTTTTTTTTTGTGATGTTAAATGTAATCTTTAGTTGAATTTATGAAAATAATATTTTAATTTGATTTAACATTTAATTTTTATATTTTTATTTTATTCATAAAATATATTACTATAATTAATTATATGTAATGTATTATATAATTACATAATTTGTTAAATATTTTAAATAGATAAAATGTTAAAAGATAAGAATAATAAAATGAATATTCTTTTTGGTGTAAAATTTGGTGTAATGGGTTGGAGATGGAATAGTAATTTGGTGTAAAAACTACACCAACTTGATGTGAAAACTACACCATTTTGGGTTTTGTGGTTGGAGATGCTCTTATTGGTGCTATATTTTGGGTCCCTGTAGCAAAGCATATTATCTACCTTTCTTATAATGTCAGACGCAACAACCACCATTAATAAATCAATCTATGATGCTTATCTCCAATAACATTTCGCTCGAGTCAGGCTCTCTACTTCTGTTAATTCCATTGTTCAAACTATTTTCGCCTTCTCATTTTCGAGTCTTTAATTTTCAGACATGCTTGATATAAATATTTAGGCCAAATTCATAAGAGCAGACGCAGCCAAAGATCACAAAAAACAGCCTTCTCAGCTTAACACTATGAGCTACAACAAGGTTTTCAACGACCTCATGGGATTAATGAAAGATGTGGGATGCACACAGAAGAGATCATACCGAAGGGGGGGCTGATCAAGTCTCAGATTGCTGGCGGCGTAGCTCGAACCATTGCTACTGCACTTACTAGAGCCAGTACTCGCAATTTGATCGCGGAGCCAAAATGCTTTAGGTTGATGCACGCTATTGCGTCGATATATAGAAAGAGGATGTAAAATGATTTTATGCATCGCAATATAGAGGCAATATTAGAGGGAAGCGTAACAATTTGTTTCCATAAAATACTACTGATGGTGCAATGCATAGTTTCTCCAAATTCTCTCAACCCGGTAATTTTATTCCCCAAAATTGATCCCTCCCTCTTTGAGTACAGACAGGAACCAAGTAGGATCTACCAAGGGGGTCAAATTTTTTTTCAAATATAACATTTTTACTGAGGGTCAGGGCATAATACAAACACAGCGTTAGCACCCAGTCAATGTACTAGCACTCACTCTTTAAGCTTTTGTTCCCACAGCAAGTTTGTAAAGAATTTTTGAAGAGTTTTTATACAGTTTCAACCACAAAACTAACAAATTTTCCTCCCTACTCGTACACAAATCAAACAACAATCTATGATACAACCGAATCAAATGTCCCCTCAGATATTATGATCCGAGCTCCGTTTCTGCCTCAGTAAAGATCCATCATCACCATCTTCATGTGAGAACTCAAGGGCACTACTCGAAGGCTTGGCACCAACTGAGGCGAGTTTTTTAAACCAGGCACCTTGAAACCTGGGACTGCCTCTTTCTTGATTGTTTGGGGACTCGGGAGTCGTTGGAGAGTTAGAGCCGAGGCCTGCCATGAATTTGTAGGCCACCTTGCTGGCAGCTACAATTTCCGTCTTTGCTTGCCTTAGCTGAAATTCGTGAAGAAAAAGCACACGGAAGAGGCAGTAAGTAGAAGAGAGGAGCAAAAACAAATATCATTACGAGTGAATGATATAAGAAAATATGGGGGAAGCAATACAAAGCCGTGAACGCTGGCTATAAGCATTATAGTAGATGGGAATTACATGTAGCATTATATAAAGGGTTTATTGCACACAGAGCACGAGTATTATTGGGCTCGCCAATTATAACTCCGAACTTTTAAATATGCACATAAACCCTTTTAAATGTGAAGGGCAGTTAAAGCTCTGTATTAAAACTCAGCATCACGTGGGTCTCATGTGTGATGCTAAATGATCGAAAAGCCCTCTGTTTTTAAGGATAAAAGAATGCCGTTTTGGGTTCTTTCAGGTTTACACTATAAATATTAATCCAGTCCATATCAGAACCCTCCTCTTTGTTTATTCTGCTGACAATATATACCCTTCGCCTGTTGATCTGCTAATGCTTGCAATGGCCTTATTTTCACATTAACATATTAAAAATTACTTGGGCCTTTTCTTGCTAATCCATCATCAAGAATAATATTTTCTTCAGGGGAGGTGGTGATGGGAGACACAGAGGGTGAGAGGATGGCAAGGGAGGCGGTGATGGCAGTAGAAAGAAGGGGATCATCGAGAAAGTGGATCTCGAAGATGGTAGGGTTCTTCCCAATGTTCCCATTATCAGTAGCAATGACTACNTTGAAGGTAATTTAATATTGTTGTTTTTTATTAAAAAAATAATTGTTGTCTTTTGGTCAATAGTTGTCAAAAGTTGATTCGGAATAGGAGGGAACAAAAAGATGTAGTGCAGTTGGTGCCGATATGGGCAACATTAGAACACAAGCATCATGGAAAACTGTTAACATATAAATATCCGCAGCAATATTTTCAGAGTTTCAAGGAAAATGACCGCGAAGAAATCCTCATAGTTGACTTCTCAATATAGCTATTCCTTCATCCTTAAGTAGCCCTCCGCCAGAGTAATAAAAGGGGTAGTTTCCACTGATGGTTTTCCCTCATCCATTAACTCTCGTCTTCTTAATTGTCATGTATCTGGTATCTACTTGGGACCCCTTGTCGGTAGGTTTTACCATGGTCAACCATAATCATACTAATATATAAAATTGTGCAGATGAAATGAAAGAAAAATGATTAATGAAAGAAAAACGATTAGACTACATTTACCACTCATGGTCATTATAACATTCAAAGTAGAGAATAGTAAAGTGAACAAAACAGAAAGTCATATGAGCAGTCTGGATACATTATTTACAAAAATGAACAGAAATTTGTAATCAGTTAGGATGTGCTCGCTACCTTCATAGAAACTATTTGACAAATGAAGGGTGGGTAAAAATTTCAAAACCATAACTCCAAGTGAAACTAAACAAATTTAAGTAGCACGAGGAGAAAGTTACTTATAAAGTTTCAAATTAACTGCTAACAAAATCCACAAGGGCCTAGTACTATATTATAGCCATCCCAAAACTACAAAGTCAAAATGTACAAAATCAGGATATTCTTTTGCTAATGATTAACGGGAAAAACAAAAAACAAAAATAAAAAAATAAATAAAATCAGGAAATTAAACACCATGCAAGAATATCTCACCCGTGCTGCTGTATTTCCTGCAACAACCATGGCAGTATCTCCAGCATTTGCAAATCGATTGATCCATGCTGCAAAAATCACAAATAATTGGAGATGTGATTTAGAAAATAATTCGCCAGTGAAGGTTAGTTTTTCTCCTATTAAGTTAAACAGAGCTTTTGAGCGGATAGGTTCAAATTATCAGCACATCAAAAATGACAATAAGATGGTGGAAGATGAATGAAAAGATATTGGTAGCGTGACATCAAAGCCTTTTTATGTATCACCACTATTTGCCAATACTCTTCAAAAAAATAGCATAAAGATGAATAAACACATCAAAGGTAATGGTTTAATACAATGTTAGCACCAACTTCAAACGCTGGAATTGCATACACTACACACATATACAAATGGCCATGTAATATATACTAGGCAAGTTGTTCTCAATTCCCAAATAGCTTTCTTATTGGCACCGTACCAAGGCATCATAGCTTATAAGTTAATGGTGATAATGTCTCTAAAGGTGGAGCCTCTCAGAATACAGTGGTGAACATACAATTGACGCAGTTGTTGCAGTTGAACTGTCACCAGGCTCTTATCTGTTTAGTCTGAGTGCTCCCTTATTAGCCATAGCACACAGTAACAGTTGCGAATTCATCTATTTTCATGCAAAATTAGTAATATCAACTAAAGATCTGAAAAAACATATCAAGTGGCAGAGCCTTTGCCTTCTGCATTTTTGTCACAGAAAATCTTTGTAAATTAAAAAGGTCGGGCGCCTGACCAGAGTTAGGGATCTACATACTCTTCAAGAAGATTCTACTCAATTGGGAATGAATTAGCTTAAGATGACGCATGCATATTCCATAGAATAGAAGTATCGTGGTGATCTCTTATGATTCTATGAACACTACTGAGTCATCAAATCTCTCATTAGTTAAATTATCCTTCTCCCTACTTGTTCATTATATGATTTATATAGTTGTTTGGCACCATCAAAAAGGCTCTGATCATGTCATCAATTTGTCTTGATGTTTTTATAGCCTCAACTAACAGTATCTTTTCAGGTGGGGAGCAAACATACAACCCAAGTACATGTAATATAAAACCATCATTGTAGAATCCAGTACCCATATCAAGTAGAGCCATCAGTGCCACTCTGAAGCTTAAGCTTTTTTCAGAATTGTTAATAAAATAAACCAGTGTTCCCCAATAAAGTTAACCTTTAGTCCAGTTAATTAGAAAAGACAGAAACCTAGCTGCTAGAATTTGTATAACTCACAAATAGAGATGCAATAGCAAAAAGACAGGCCCCAATATATGCAAATCGCAAATGATCTAGTGTAGGTTGACAGAGAGACAAATGTGAAAAGCAATTAAAAATGAATGTTCAAAGTAGTTATGCCAAAACATAACATATGGAGTCCAACTTTAGTGAGAATTTCCGTGAAGATGAGATTTCCTATAACCAAAGTAATCTATAACAATTGTCTTTCTTAATCAAAAGTTTCGAAAATCAGAAACATCTGAACAAAATGGGAAAAACTGAAGCTTAATAAGTGACTACTTCATACTATTGAAACCGAAAGGAAGCTAACAAGTTGAGGACCACAGCATTACAAAAACCATCACTGCTCTACGGGGACCCGGTGTTTAGCAGAGGTGAGGATAATCAAGTAAAGATGAAGTAAAGAATTAACAGATATCGGCATGTGAGTATTAACTTTCTAAGAACAACAAGGTCTTGATCATAAATCACAGAGTTTTCTAACATGAGATGGTTTCTTCCATTCAGCTATGTGAAGAGACATCTTGCCGGTTGAATTAACAATTGAAATATGCTTTTAATTGCCTCGATCCATGTTTGCCAAAACGGAACGGAAAATATTGACGCTTATTATGTGACTAGTTCATACTACTGAGACGAAAGGAAGATGCAAAGTTGAGGACCACAACGTTACAAAAACCATCACAGTTATACAGGGACCGAGGTGTTTAGCAGAGGCGAGGATAATCAAGTAAAGATGAAGTAAAGAATTAGTAGATATTGAAGCATTTGACTACTAACTTTCTAACAACAAATCCTAACATGAATTGGTTTCTCCCATTCAGCTACGTGAATCTTGCTGGTTGAATTAACAAGTGACATATCCTTATTAATGGCCTCCATCCATGTTTGCCAAGCCTACCTATAGTCATCATTGTTCTATTCTTGTAAGTACACTAGTTAGCAGTGTGCATGTGAGCATTATGTAGGTAATGGACATGGATAAACTGAAATGGAGGTAGATTGCGGTTGTAAAAGAATAAGGAGACTAAAATAACCCAGAGATGGACTTTAACATAGCAGAAACAGAGAAAAGAGTACATATTGCCAACTCAAAAAATTAATAGAACAATCGCTTTCTCATAATTGTAACGGTGGTCAAAGTACATCATTCAATAAGAGACTAAAACCTAGAACACAGAATGACCTATTTTTAGCATCATATTATGCTCACAAAAGACAAGGCATAAGGTCACCAAAATTAACCATTCTAGAGCACCAAAACAGAATCATAGATTTTTAAATAAATAAAGGAAACTATGCATTACGAACTCTAACAGCAGCAAAATAATACATAGAATCAATAAACATCATCGAACAATATTTTACTTGATACAAGAGTGCAAAGATATATTTGCTTCCAATAACAGAAGAAAAAAAGCAACCTTAAACAGGTTTTGTTCAATATTTAATCCTCAAATTACTGGGTATTTACAGGGGAAAATATAAAACACATAAAAAGCAAGCACCAAGCAAGAAGCTATACAAGTTGGTGTTCAAATGTTTCAAGGTCGCATAATCAGGTAACTACAAAATAAGTATCAACAAGATAACAACTAAGTAAACCAAACAACTGGGAAATCCTCGGTAAAGGAAACAAACATAAGAAAGTACACATGAATTCCTTGCTAGGAAGTTATTTATGGTAAATATATTTTTCAACTACATTAGCATAAAGTAAGATTGCATCACCTGGAAGTTTTGGAACACCAAGCCTCTCACAGAAAACATCACAAAAGTGGTTGCAGTTTTTTGCTAGAAGGTCATAAGAGTGTCCAGGCCATTCTCTGCTAAGTTCCCTCAAGATCTGATTCACTTTGAGAATTGAACAATTGGTTTCTCCAAGAACAATGCTCTCACGGTAGGTGTACATTGGATTTTTACGAGGCGGACAACTAAAGACCCCAGAACCCTGTTCGCAGAACCCAAATGACCATTCTTCATCTCCATAAACCTGCCAAAATCAGAAGCCTGAGTTAAAGTTATTACAATAAATATCTTCATTTACAGAAAATAAATCAGCAAAATAGTTCGACTTGTAATGGACTAACAATTAAAAAAATGAAGAAAACAATGAAAAATAAACTATGAAACTGTCAGTAGTAAGATCCATGAAACTGTAAGGATTAAGATCCAAGAGGATAAGACATTCAAACTTGCAGACATAACTATCAATGAATAAATGAAATATACTTGAAAATGCTAACTCTATCCTAGGGTTCCCTCAGATATGTAACCATGATGTACTTAAAATTATCGCTGCAAAAGAACTATCTCCTCCAAAAGTCCAAAACATAGATAATAGACATAATCCCTGGCTGAATGTGGCTTCAACAAAAAGTTTTTCTACTATTCAACAAGACCATAAAAAATTGCTTCACAAGGCAAGATTTGGTGCAATCCTAGGCAAGTTCCACAGACCTAGACAATTAAGGGGTAATACCTCTAAAACAAAAAGTTGGAACTAGAATGTACCATTGTGTAAAATCAACATCAAGCATCAGAAGTTACAACTTAGTTTTTAAAAAAAGAATAAACAAATAGTAATTAAACATGATCAGAAAAGGAATTGTGCACTGAACAAAAATTAGATATTTTTGCCCACTTTAGGTCCATTGTCAACATAAACAACACGAAACCAACTAGTCTTGTAATAGGCCCATCTTCGAAAGAACGGCCTACAAAGAAAGGATAATCCTAGTCGACTGTTAGTGACCAACTAGTCTCAACCAAACCCAACAGAGCAATGTCAAGGAATAGCACTGCACATACTCCTTGCCTTCCATCCATAAACACATGTGGCCGATTTGGCTGCTGTATTAAACAAGTTAGTCCACACATATTTAATACAGATGAAAATAACACGAGCCCAGTCCCTTCCGAAAGCACAGATATCTCAGAATTCATCAACCACCAGCTCAATCCACTGCGCAAATCAAATTTACCTTGTGTCTTCTCAGGTAATTAACAATGACTTTCATTAATCCTCAAATGTGTAGGGACAGCTCGTGAGTTCCCCACAACCATGACATAAAGCAAAAACTTGATTTTTACTATATCTTTTACTTCACAGGTAAGGGTTCTTCACATGATTAATTGAAAAAAATCCAACTGTCTGATCATCATTATCACCATCTCCTCAACCAAGAGAACATGGTACCGAACAAGTCAAGAATGGAGAAGCTAATTAACATTTGTTCTCTAACCAAACTCTGCTAGCTTCACGGTGATGTTGCCCCCAAACTAATAGCTTATGTTCTTGCAGCCTCCGAAATAGGGCTAGCAAACATCATTTCATCGCATCCCAATTCCTGCAGAGACAGTACAACCGCATTCCTCACTGATCCCTGATGAGAAGTTAGTTTGACAGCAAGTAAACTCCAAAACCCCAAACCACGAGACCAGATTCGACCAGCAGTCAAAAACCCCTAGATCCAAAACCCTAGTGGAAGGGGAAGAAGAGCATCAATCAGCTCAAGAATCTAATTTTGGTTTTTTTTCCCCCAAATCAATCACAGCCAGCTTCGTGTTGATTTCATCCCGAACACACAGCCTTATGTTCTTGCGACCACGCGATTAGCGTTAGCAAACAAGGATTCGCGCTAATCTTCAACACAATCTCATCGAATTCCTCCCTAATTCCTAACCAGTTCAAAAAAAAACCCTAAATCCCGGGATCGCCTTCAACAACCAACCTAAAACCCTAGATCCAAAACCCTAGCTCCAAAAATCCGAAGAAAAAGACCGAATCGGTACCTGAACAGCGCTGTGAAAGATCCCGCCGAGCCCGATCCGGTCCTTGAAGATCCTGTTGACCTGCAGGATGGTGTTGTTCGTCTTCTCAGATCCGCTGTTGGTCACGTCGTAAACGTGAGCCACGACCTCCCTCGTCATCGTCTCCTCTCCTCTCCCCTCTTTCGAGACGCTTGAAGGATCGAGGGATCGAGAGGGGGGAGAGCGAGAGAGGGGGAGAGAGAGGAGAGCGAAAGGAACGGGAGCGCAAAAAAGAGGCGCTCTTTCTGACGTCGGCGTCGATGATGATGATGCATTTTATTTTTCTAGTTTACTGCTTTCTATGATTCTAGGGAATGAGTTCTGATTTTATATGGTGGTCAAACTCTGGGCTTTGACCGAAAGGCCGAAGAGTTTGGCATTTTTTTTAGTAAAAAAGTCCTGGTGAATATTCCACTCTTAAAAAGCTAATTTTAAGACTTTTTATTAAATTCTTAATGTTGGTTGATTTTTTAATTTTTAATTTTTTATTTGTTTGACTACTAATATTTTTTAAAAAGCTCAGCCTGGAGTCACCCGTGGTGGGTTTTTTTTATAAGTAAGGGCCGTGAGAGGTATATTGAAAATTTTAGCCCTCCACGTCATCGTTTTTTACTACAAATGTCAGCTGAATTATTTTTAGGCTAAATATCAGAAAACCTCCTTAACTTTCAAAATATCATAAAATTACGTTAAGTATCAGGATTATCACAAAAACTCCCCTTTAACTTTTAGATTTTATCAAAAACCCAATTTAACTTTGGGATTTTATCAGAAACCCCCTTAAATTAGGGGGATTTTCTAATAATATCTCAAAGTTATGGGGAGTTTTCTGACAACCGCTAAGCTTAAGGGTGTTTTCTAATATTTTCAAAGTTAAAAAAAAAATTCTGGTAATCATCCAAAGTTAAGGGGGGTTTACAAAAATTTAGCGTCCCTTTTATATTTATTGTACTCCAATTTTAAAGTATTTTAAAATGTAATTATGGTAGTTTAAAATAAAATTAGAGTGGATTATACACTTTTATATTTAAGTCCAAATTATCCTTGTTGAGTTGATACACATAATATATCCGTAAAATTTTTAATATGATTGTGTACATAGATAAATAGATAAACAAACAAAGAAAAATTCCAAGAAAATACATTATCCCTCGCACTATTCCTCCAAACAAACAAAAAAGCGAGGATTTTGCAATTTGGGGATTTGAGGATTTACGACAAATCCAAAATTTTAAAATCAATATCCACGACCACGAGGCAAACAACCCCTAAGAGCATCTCCAACAGGTTCCCTATCTTCTTGGTATTCTAAAATTTGGAGAATTTTGAGCTTTTTTTTGGTCCAACAGATTCCCCATCTCATTCCCCAAAATGGGGATAGGAGAGAAAAAATAGAGAGCCTTCCCCAAATCTGCAGCATTCTGCAAATATTTGGGGAAGCACTTTTTCACGTTCTTCTAGACTCAACCCACAAAAAACAACTCCATCTTCTCATTATAATAATAAATAATTTGGTCAAAATGGGGATTCTTCAAAATAATAAATAATTTATTATTTATTAGTCAAAGATGTAGAATATTTTTATTATTGTAATAAATGCATGATTCTTTAAAATGGGGAAGCTGTTGGAGTTGGAGCAAAAATAATTTGGAGAATATGACATTTGATTCCCCATTTTGAAGAAATTTTTGGAGAAGCTGTTGGAGATGCTCTAACTTTGTTAACTCTGCGCTGTAAAAAATTCCAACACCGTTTCAGTCCACATACATCCACAGTTCCCCCTTCCCTCAAAACCCGCGATCACTCGAACTCCATCGAAGAGCCGCGAACAAAAAAAAACACCAAAAAAAAAAAAAAAGAAAGAAAGAAAGAAAGGAAGAAAGAAAAGAAAAAGAAAAAAACAGTAGAGAGCAAGAAATCGAGTGAAATATCGAGAAAAGTTCAAATCTTTATGGTGTCTACTAACATCGTCGGCCAGCAGCAGGCGATGGCGTTGCCGGGGGCTATCGGGTCGTTGACTGCCACGTCAGCCGCGGCGGAGGATCCGAGCACAAAGATCAGGAAGCCTTATACTATTACGAAGTCGAGGGAGAATTGGACTGAGGTTGAGCATGATAAGTTTCTGGAAGCGCTGCAGCTGTGAGTGAATTTTCTTTGTTTTCATTGAATTAGGATTAGGTCGGCGGTTTAGGTTGAATGGCGGGAGTTGGACGATGTTTGCTAGTTAGGGTTTTTTATTTAGGATGGAGCTGTGAGTTTAGGTTACAGGATTTGACAAACTTGGGGTTTAGGGTTTGATGTTCTTAATTTGAAGAAATTTAGCCGTGAAAGATCGGAGCTTTTAGGGGTTTTATGAGGAAGCAGCTATAGGGGTGGAAATGAACTGAATATTTAACAAATAGTCGTTATTTATTCGCTTAAATATTCGGTCATTTTCGATTTAGCAATAAATGAATAATTTTTAACTTTAGGTTCGTAAACGAATAGAATTTAACCATGTATACTCGATTTGTTTGTTTAATAAACTATTCGTTTGTAAATTACACTTTAGACCTATAAATTTTATTTATTATATTTTCTATGCATCCCAAAAGTTTGGGTACAGGAAAGTGTCGAATACGTGTCTGGTATGGTTACGGCTTCATTATAGAAGTACCCGGGTAACATAGACTGCATGTGATCCTGAGTCAGAGCAGTCATGATTTGATCATCTGTTTAGTTCTTTTCATAACCTCTTAAGATTACATGTGTTTGTGAGCTTAGCTTCATCTTAAACTATATGCTTGTAGTGATCCATAGATTTAACTTTAATCTTGTAGACCTGTTCTCACCCAGTATTAGTTCTTGACACTTTCCCAACAGTGCTAGTTTTCGATAGCCAGATTCATTATGTTTTGTCTTTGACCGTTCCAGCTTTGATCGTGATTGGAAAAAAATTGAAGCATTTGTGGGCTCAAAGACTGTTATCCAGGTAAAGTTTTTGTCAAGCGTAAATTTTTTTGGAAAGTTAGAATGGCATTATATCAAATTTCTTTTGGAAAGTTAGAATGACAGATCATTTATATGACCACAAATTACCATAATATAATATGTTAGAATCGGTTTATGTTTTTTATAGCCCTTGTTGAATCTCTGGAAACTCCAACTAAAAGACGGAAAATATTACTAAACAAAAACAAAGAATCAGTTATGGATTCACAACCAAATACATCATACACCGGATGCATCTGTAGACCACTCCCAAAAATGCATCTGTTATAGTGTTATTTGCTTTGAAGGACAGTGTTTCTTTTCCTAAAAAGATTGCTTCATTTTCTTTTTATTATTGATATTGCATCGGCCTTTGTCACAGATAAGGAGCCATGCACAAAAATACTTTCTGAAGGTTCAGAAGAGTGGAACAAGTGAACATGTTCCTCCTCCTCGTCCTAAGCGCAAAGCAGCTCATCCATACCCCCAAAAAGCTTCTAAAAATGGTTTGAATTGTTCTTAAATATTTCTGAGAATTGGTCGAGTTTATGTTTAGTTTTATATTTTGAGGACTTATGAGGTAATAAAATTTTGCAGCTCACTTGTTACCCCAACCTGCTGCAGTTTTACAACCTTCTTCGTGTCTGCTCGAGCGTGGCTATACTCCCAGAACAGATTCATCTTCTGTGCTTAGGAACTCTAGTAAAAGTGGAAAAATGTCTTCTTGGGCCCAGTGTTCTGTTCATCCTTATGCTGTGGACATGGCAAAAGGTCTAGAGTAACGTGTCCTTCATAAGCTGCTGCATTATTATGCACCACTATTTTTCAAATTAAACAAGATATTTCATGCACAAAGTGCTGATGAATTTATCTGTTCAGATAATATAGGGCCTGCAGGGGCTATGGTGGCCAGTAATTGTTGTAGCAGCACCACGAGTCCTCCTAGCACATGGCAGGTTTGCGAGACAAGTGATCAAGGGAATAATGTTCCATCAGTTCGTGGTAAAGAATCTTCTCATGTAAAGAGTTAACAGCTTAACATTATGACCGTTTTGATAAATGTACATTTCGAAATTGACTCTTCTCCAAAATTCTGAGGCAAACAGGATATTAACTATAAGATTTTGGCCTTAGGTTTATCAAATCAAAAGAAAAAGAATTCGCATTATTAATGAATAGTGCATATGTACTGAAGTAGCTCTTACATGCATGAATTCCTCCTAAACACATGAACTTGATTATCACCTTATATACTGAACATTAGCAATGAACAAACGTACACGAGGATTACCTCTCTTTTTGAAAAAGAAAATACTTCATGTCACCCTTATGATTAAAGATTTAATGGAACCATTCAGTTAAAATGTGACATTATTATAAGGGTTAATTTTAGAAAGCCCCCTAAACTAATCACTAGAATCAAAATACCTCTTCCAAGTTTCTAATTCGTCAAATAGTCATAACTTCTCATCACATTCATATTTCCGTTGGTTTTGATGGAAAATAAATTTTTTGTTGACCAAAATACCCCTTTCTTTCATATTAGTTTTTACTCCAGTCTGTAGGTTGATAAATCTTTCTTATTTTCACTCAATTTTTATTAAGTTCACAAATTCTGCACCAAGAGGAGAACAAAGGGATCCTTGATTTTCTTAAAGTTTCTAGTTCCTAATAAAATCCATGCATGCACATTTCATATATGGCATTATATTCTGAAATTAAAAAGATTGAAAACTTGGAAGCACATACAATCCACAAGTTACAAACAATACTCCCAACTCTTTATTTGGGATCTCAGTTTCTCTTAGCCTGGCCCTTGAAGCACCTGATTTTTCACTTTCCTGGTTAACATGCACCCTTGCCATCTGTACAGTGTTATACACAAACCCCTCACACATAATCATGAGTAATGTACACTCTTGCAATTATACATGGAGAGTGTATATAAATGTCGATTTCTTGCCGGGAATAAGAAAACTCTCTTTGGACTTTTTTATGATTGAATTTTATTGGTCAGGAGAAAGAATAAAGAGGAATTAGGGTTTACTAGCGTGTTTGAAAGTGATCTGCACTAATTGATTAAGAGGCAAAAAGCGACATTTAACAATTATTAGCTAACACTGTTAACAAACAATTACTCCAAATATAGAAGTTAAAACATTAGGGGGTTGATTGATGATTTAGAAACTTGGGGGAGGTTTTACAATTCTAGTTATTTGTTGGGGGAGGTTTTCTGAAATTAACCCCTGTTGTAATTCTTTTCTTCAAGAAGACACCTTTCAGTTAGCAGTTAGCACATGGCCTTTCTCATCTGCCATCTAGATTGATCATTCTTTCTGCAACTCTATTCGACAATAGAGAATATTGCTGAAAACCTGAGACAGTACAAAATTATCATGTCTCTCTACATAATTTTTGGTTGTTAATTTTGGCAGTTTATTGCCAAGTTTAAGGAATCCATTTTTCTGTTTCATCTGAACAAAATCTCTCTCTCAAAAAGTGAATATTTCTTCAACGACTTATATAATTCTTTCATGATATGTCAGAATGCAGACAGGACGCATATCATGATAGAGTATGGAATATTATACCAAATGGAAAATATGGCGGCTGTCTTAAGATATTTGCTTTGCAGGAAAAACATAATACACATTATTTTTATTAACATCTTATATAAGTCTTTCTAAGCATATTAGACACAGTTTTTCAAAAAATGTTCCATATTCCTATCAAATAAGTTCCTATGTACACCCAAAAATTCTCCACCTTGTCCTTGAAATTCCTTCTTTCTTTTCATCTATAAACATTATTTGATAATCTCTCTCACTCTTATGCCTTTCTGTTCCTTTTTGGGTCTTTTGTGAAGCTATGCCAGATTTTGCCGAAGTATACAGCTTTATTGGAAGCATCTTTGACCCAAGTACAAGTGGTCATCTGCCAAAACTAAAGGAAATGGATCCAATTGATGTTGAGACGGTATGTCTTCTTTGAAATGCAAATTTTATTGCTCATGCTTGTGTAGTAGTGAAGTTCTTTCTCCCAATCTCGGAAATAATGTCTTCTGGCGGATTGCAGTATCATTGTTAACCATCATATATTGCTGAAGGCAAGTGTACTTCTAACAACTGTCCCTATGGATCACTATAATTAGGTTGTTTAAAAATTGTATATAATAATGTGTATTAATAACAATGATCTTCAGCAAGTGTAAATTTATTCAAAACATCCTAGTATCAGTTGCTCTCATTTTGTGGTACATTTCTCACGATGATTTTGATTATTTGGTGAGGAGGGTCTCCCGTTCAGGATTGGGT